ATTTTCATAACATTCCCAGAGCTAATTTCACCACACTTCCCTGTTCCCTCTGTCCCTCCCTCCCTTTTCCTTCCTTCCTCTGTCTTTCCCTCCCTCCCTTCCTCTAGTCTTCTATCTCCCTCCTTTTCCTTCCTTCCTCCCCTCCTTTTCCTTCCTTCCTTCCTTCCTTCATGTTTTCTATTCCTTCCTTCCTTCCTTCCTTCCTTCCTTCCTTCCTTCCTTCCTTCCTTCCTTCCTTCCTTCCTTCCTTCCTTTCTGTCTTTCTATCTTTTCCTTCCTTCCTTCCTCCCTCCCTTCCTTCCTCCCCTTCCTTTGTCTGTCTATCTTTTCCTTCCTTCCTTCCTTCCTTCCTTCCTTCCTTCCTTCCTTCCTTCCATCTCTTCCTTCCTTTGTTCCCTCCCTCCCTCCTTCGGGAGAATATCTAGCCTAAAAGGTGGAGGAGGAAGAAGAGAATTTCCCCCTTTCTCCTCCCACAGCCTCCTGCTCCCCCCAAAGGCATCGTTCCTCCCTTTGGCCGCCCCACTTCTGCGATTGCCTTCAAATCCCCCTTTCCACTCCATGTTTTTCTGCAGATCCTCTGCTGACAACTTGATCCTGCCTGCCAAAGGATGAGTAACAGAAACTCTGCCAGGCCCTGGGTGCTGCTCACCCAACCTCCCCCTCCCCGGAGCCCAATCCCTGGCTCACTTGCGCAATTCGAGACGGCGGGCAGTCCGTGGTGCCTTCAACAGGTACAACGTCTTGCCAAGTTCAAGGTAACCGGAACGGGAAATTAGACACCCACATATGCCCGCATATATATTTATATACACCGCACATTCCTTTCCCCTCACCCTCACCTGTTCCTCTGGGCATTCCCAGCTTGAACGAAATCATCCTGGTTAGTCAGACCACTTTGCCCGTTTGCGCAACGATCTGAACATGTAAACACACGTGAACTCTCAAGGACAAGGGGCAACCCCAAACTGTTAGTTAACCGCGGGGGAAGCGCACAGATAAATGTGCACGTCGGGGTTTTCTTGAAGGGGAGGAAAATGGGGGTTTGGTTAGACGTCCATTTTGGGTGACCGAAAAACAGCCTACCCCTTTTCAGTAGCAACTGGGCTCTGAAGGTTTAACGAGAGCCGTAAAAAGGGCCTTATTGTTTACTGATCTCATATATAACCTGCTTTTCAGCCCAAAGTTCAAGGTGGCATAGGTAAGGTTTTCTCAGATCATTTCCCCGCAATGGCAACCCTGCGAGGTAGGCCAAGCTAAGAGCATGCTTGGCCTATAGTCCCCCAGGGAGTTCCATGGTGGGGAGGCCTTGAACCAACACCTTCACCATGGCCTCACATGGGCTGCTTCCAATTCTGGACACACGACCCCAACGTAGCTGGTTTAAGGCCCGGTGGCTCCATTCCCACGTGCCAAGCGGAGTCACTTTTCCATGCTTAGCCAGTGGCTCAAACCCGGCCTGTTCGGTTCGCCAACCAGTCGATCTTTCCTGCCAACCCAGAAAATGGGTTAATCCCATAAGCGAGTTAAGCGCGTTGGACAAACCCGGGCGTACTGCGCCTCATTGGCAAACGTAATAATGCAAGCTGGGCATAACTTTCGGGGCCCACGTTGATTGCTGATCGAAGGATGAATACGGACTTCGGGGTGCGCGGGGGGCTTGGAAAAAACGCGAGACAGCAACGCCTGGGGTGCAAAGAGGGGGCTCGGCTCGCCAAGGGGGCAAGGCAAGCATGGGTCTGCAGAAGCCCCCCGCCCGGCCTCTTCTGGTGTTTTGCTCCCTGGACCCGAAAGCAAAAGGGTTGACTGGGGATTGAGGGAGCCCTGGCAGGACAGCGAGCCCCGGCGATCCCCAGGAAGGGAAGGCGAGCCCCGTCAGAGGGGGGAGAAGTGCACTGGAGGGAGAAAAGGAAGCTCTTCCAATGCCAGGGGGTAACCGGGAAGGAGGAGGAGGAGGAAGAGGGGGGAGACACGAGTGGGAAGGGAGGTGGCTGGCGAAACCACCCAAACTATCAAAAAAGCGCCCATTAATTATTCATCCTGGGGAAGTGAAGTGGAGAAAATGCAACACGGGGGAAAAAAACAAGCTCTGGA